ATAACTAAAACCACAACCACAATGCATCGTGGCTCAAAGAGCGCCTATAATATCACGGCTAAATACGAGACGGTCGTGAAGACTGTCAAAATCCTTACTTTGACAGTGACAATGCTTGAAAATTGGTTAGGGAGCAAGTACCTGTTTATCATCTCTAACCGCGCTACCGGTACTCATTTGTTTCCCCAATGAACACAGTCGTATGTCACGTGCGTCGTCATTCCCACGCGAAATATGCTAGCTTGGCTTGGCAGGCCTCGACATGGAGTTCGGAAGCAAGGATCGAGCGCTTCAACTCAGAATGCAATGTCGCAATATTACTTATGTATTAACAGGTACTTGCTCCCGTTTACATTTCGGCGCAGTAAGAGTTTTCCGCAGAAATTCACCAGATATCTCTTGGTAAAGTGTACAGTACCAAAGGCTAAGTTATAATTCGAACAAGTAAACATTTAGCTACACATAGATCTGTACCAATATAGCGGCTGTTGGTTGTGTATCATTTGTGCTGTCATAGCATGAAACGAACTGAGCATTGTGCGAATTTAGCGGTCACACTTTCCGACCCGTTTTATATTTTTGTTTGTGTGGTGAAATTGAGACTTTTGAGTGTTGCAGAGGAGCAATTGAACGATATTTACAAAAAGTTAACAGGCGAAAGAGTGGAGAAAGCTCTGAGTGATAGTAAATACATTTCGTGTTCGTTTACCATCACTTTATTATTGAAACGTTCCAAGTGCCTGTGAGTAGATTGTGTGTTGGTATTTTTAATTACATACATTGAGCAGAGTAGGCCTAGGTAGGCCGGCCTATGGCCCGACCGCGCCGATCACTGCAACAATAAACGGTTTGTTTGGGGGCGTTTAAGTAAATTAGCTAAAAACTAGTAGACCATACACTCACCTACAGGTTTGTGACCACGCATGGCATGAAAAAGGCTTACTTCTACCTCAGCAGTCCAGTTTATGGACTGAACATCACCACTTTCACCTACATCACCCGCCATGTTGAAACATTCAAAAATTCGCCACCCTTGAGCCCATTTTTTGCATTAGCTGAAATTTCGGTGTAAACTTTACTACGATATAAAAAAATTGAAATATCTGAAAATTATTTACATGTCATATGTGTTATTAGTTATTATTTTCATTACAAATTGTTTATTATTATTTGTACAGTCGTGAGACTGCCACCTATCGGTAACTTTAGGAATTAATTTTCTATCAAATTGAGAATGGAGAGTTGCTGCGCATATTATATAATAAGTGAAGCGTAGTGCGACCATAAAATAAGATAAATGTGTGTATACGTGTATTTAAACATGTATATATATGTATCATATATGTATACGTAATAGTTATGAATGCGGCTGACACTACCAGGGGCTTAGCTAACACAGGTGACAGGTCTCTCGTTTTCCTGGAGGGTCGGGGGATGGCAAAGCCACGTACGCTCGGGTTGTGTTCTGAGTAGGTAATTGTGCAATTCAACACCGTGGGCAATTCACCATTAAATTGACCATGTAACATTATCTACATCTCTCTAAGGCCAACTACCCACTTTGCACCCCCCCCCGCATTTGCTTTTTGGCTTTCCTTCATGTGTAGTTGTGTACCCGTCATCCGAACCTTAGGCCTATAGATGGGGCGCGCAGGGTATGCGCACGAGATTTTGCTACAGGCGCGTTAGGAAACATGTGAAATGATCACGGAGCTGTACATAACAACAATACATACAGCTTATTATATACAGCCTATTGATATTGATCACCCAATTACAGTTGACGTTGTTTGGCGTTAATGCGCGCGTAAAAGGTCTTTGGGAAATGGATGGTGGTTTGTGGCCTTTGTCAGGAATAAAACCCACTAAGGTTTCTAAGCAATAGTGCATTACACCTTCAAAACAGAATTTAAAGGAAAAAACATTCACTACCTATTTAACACAAAAACGTTTTTATAACGTAGTTATAACGTATAATGTTGTGGTTTGGATAACATAATTTAATAATGGTTATTCAATGTAAATGCGTCGGGTTTTTTATGTTTTCAAATAATCTTCCTACTGAGACTTGTCTGTCATTTGCTCCTCTGCGTACCACTCATAACAGCTTTCCGTGTAATCAGTTCACTTCAGCTGGCGCGTGGCTTATGTGCATATCGCCGTCGGTCGTACGGAAAAGATGGCGCTCTGCAATTCGCAAATACGCAGGCGGTCGACGAATTTTACCATGTTTTCCTATAGTCGGATAGCCCGATCGGATCGACCACAATGCCGTGATGTGATGTGATGTGCAATGAGTGATGTGTGTGTTTGAGCACAAACACGCGCCCACACGCATACGCCCGCTCGCACGCACGCACGCACACATAGAGGGAAAGGGATTTGATTTGATTTATTTATTTCGATAATTAATAAAGCATACATTACATCGATAACAGCATAAATAAAACAAAATGCAGCTGGGTTAGGGTTAGGGTTAAAAAGGGAAACTCTCCTCCTCCCATGAAAAAGGGAGTGAGAGAGAAGGGGAAAGAGAAAGAAAGAGTTTAAGAATGTGCGTTAGTTCAACATGTCTTGATAATAAAACGAAAAATTACATGATCAGTTATAGTGATCTTTAGTGATCACATCTTGTTGCTCATGACAAGAATAGTTCTACTAAAAAGATAATTGTCGTAGTCAGAATGAAGGCTGTACATTTTCTCAAATGTGCCTCAAATACCATCTCCTGCGATCTACATTTTCAAAAATTTTCGGGGAGGACCCCCAGACACCCCCGCCTGTGTGCGTACACATGCATGTCACCCTAGCTACGCCCCTGGCTGGAATACACCCTAACCATATTAAATACAGATTTGCCACAAAATATATCTTCTGGTGAGATATTGCGCTGATGTGCTATCACACCAACGTAGACAGATTGTGTACTGGCAAGTAGCCTATAGGCAGCGGGGACCTTACAGGCAAGGTATTCTTCCTATTTTTAAGTGAGATCTACTAATAAAATGTTATCATACAAATCTATGCTAGGATAGCTTCTCTTCATTTTGAACGCATAGTCTTTGCAAAATATTATTCTCGGGAGATATTGCGCATGCGCGAGCACCGTTTAAGACGTGTTGTACGGAATAAAGAGCCTGCATAATATAGCTTGCTGTGAGAGGGGGGTGGGACTGTGGGAGAATGAGGAAAGTCAGCAGGGATGATCCAGGGGCGGATCCAGGATTTTTGAAAAGGGGGTGTCCAGAAAGAAATAAGAACACTTTTTCCTGCTTACTTTTTCTGGTGTTTTAAAAAGCTGCCAAAGTCCACTTAGGGGGGGGGGGTTAGGTTTTTTAAATTGGTGCATTCTGAGAGCATCTGAGCAGTAATTTTGATGTCTAGAATGCAAAAATTTATCAGATCTGGTCCCCCGGACGCCTGCGGACCCCTCTTTGCCCACTTCTAGGTTTTTATAACGAATTTACATATATATAAGTAAATCTTTATCAGAAAAACTAGCGCTAAACAAGATTTTTTTATGGAGACAATATAAGAGAAGTGTGTGCGTGTGTGTGTACTGTATGCTTTTTTTCCCTTTTTGTGGTAAAAAGGGGGGGTCCGGACCCCCTCGACCCCCCTTCTGGATCCGCCCCTGTGATCGCTGAAGGCGGTAGACGAAGGAGGAAGCTGAGCGGGGGAGACGGAAGCCAATGGTGAGGACGGGAGGGGACGAAGTAGGAGTTTTGTACCCTACAAGACATTATAATAATTCATGAACAAAAATTATTCCACAAAAACATAATTAATATTATATATATTACTAACAACAACAACAACAACAACAACAACAACAACAACAACAACAACAACAACACAACACACATTATTAAACATTAACATCATCATCATTATATCATTATTATTATTATTATCATTATTATTATCATTATTATTTAACATCAATATTATATGAAATAAATAACATCTGATAAACGTTTTAAACGTTTGAAATATTAAGTCAACTAATTCTACTGATATATGCATTGATATTTATAATACATGAAGATTGATCTTGTATATAATGAGAGAACAATTTTAAAAGAGGAGGTTGTAGCTGCGATAAAGATACTGAAAGCAGAAAGGGCTGTTGGAGTGGATGACATAGCAATTGCGATGTCGGAGGCGTTGGGAGATTTTGCACTTGACACGATAACAACTTTGGCAAATAAGATATAAGAAACCGGTGCAATATTCGAGCAGATTTATAATTCTATATTTCTACCAACACCAATTATTCAAGTAAGAACATCGCACGCTTAGCATTATGAGTCATGTGGCTAAGATAATTTTCAGAGTAGTTATTGCTAGAGTAAGGTTACTTAAGGTTAAGTTAGGATGAAGGTTTGTTTTTTCTCACAGATGACGAACGATAGAACATAGTGGCGATCAGTGGTAGCCGACGTCCAGATGAACATGGCACCCTGATGATGATGATTTACAATACATTGTAGTAATTCCGGAATAAAAAACAATCCAGATAAACATTATTATATAATACAACATGTACATAGATGTAACCATATAAAATCGTGAACATTACTAAATAATACATCCAATTGATAACATAAACATTTAATTTTAATTTAGTCTGTCCTTTGAATTATGCATCTACTATACATAAACAGATATAATTATATAATATTATGAACACATTAATCAATATTATATCAAACAAATAACATAAAAAACAGACATGATTTTAATTCATTCTCCCTTCTGTATTATGCATCTATTCTTTCTTCCGCTGTCTCTCTCGCTTTCTCTCTCTCCCCATCTCTTCATCAGTAGTGATACGACGACCGGTATGGTTTAGTGTCCTATGCGATGCAATTCCAAACTGTTTTCAAGCGACAAAGACAGAAACAGCCAAATATACGCACCTATGTATATTACACGCACGCACGCACGCACGCACGCACGCACGCACGCACGCACGCACGCACGCACGCACACACGCACGCACACACACACTGTACATTCGTATATAATTCCATCTGTCAATTAGGTTATGAAAATTCAAAATAAAAATTTAGGGTAATGAATTAGCTACAGCAGTATATGCATCTGCTCTGCTGTAACACTATACCTACGTTCACTTGTGATCACTGCCTTCTATTTCAACAGTCAGCTTCTCTTCAGCTGGAGCATGAAAGCACGTCTAGACTGTTCCAAAAAAGAGAATACAAATGTATGTACGTACACATAATCCAGAGCAGGCGTACACTCCCACACGCTCACGTACGCACGCACGCACGCACGCACGCACTAGATACATACGTAGCTACCAGTGCTGAGGCGTTGCAGTGACGATTCGACCAGAGGTATACACTACAGTCGAGAATTACTGCAATGAAATTAATGCAATGAATACTACATAGTACACGTTTTATCTGCCGCGTCTGAGACCCCGTTTGTTGTGTGCGTGTGCGTGTGCGTGTGCGTGTGCGTGCGTGCGTCCGTGCGTCTGAGTCCCCGTTTGTTGTGTGTGTGTGTGTGTGTGTGTGTGTGTGTGTGTGTGTGTGTGTGTGTGACCAGTGTTTATAATTAGGAGAGCGCCCTAGCCAGTATAGTGCAAAACTACTACTTGATCCCCGCCCGCCCTTCCCCTTGTCTCCCTTGTCGCACGCTCAGCCTCCTTCTTCTTCCACCGCCCCTCGGCTGTCTTCCCTGCCACATTCCCTCAGTGATTTACCCCTATCTCTAGCAGCAAGCTGTATTACCTACTTTTATTTAGGCCGTACTGCACGTCTGAAACAGTGCTCGCGCATGCGCAATATCTCCCAAGAAGAAAAATATATTTGCCAAAATTATGAATTTAAAATGAAGAGGGTTTATCCCAGCTTAGATTTCTATGATAATATTCCATCAGTAGACCTCACTTTTAAAATAGAAAGCAGACCTTGCATGTAAGGTCTCCGCTACATAAACCATACAATCAATACACAATCTAGCTACGTTACTGTTTTAGCGCATGCGGAATATCTCACGAGAGGAGTTATATTTTGTGCTGAAAACGCATTTAATATGGTCAGGAGGTATCTCCTCATAGGTTTCTGCAATAAATTCTTATCAGTAGACCTGTGTTTATAATTAGGAGAGCGTCCTAGCCAGTAGGGTACAAAACTACTACATCATCCCCGCCCGCACTTCCCCTTGTCTCCCTTGTCGCACGCTCAGCCTCCTTCTTCTTCCACCGCCTCTCGGCTGTCTTCCCTGCCACCTTCCCTCAGTCTCTCACCCCTCTTTCCCGTAGCAAGCTATATTTATATACTAGGAGCCACATCGCCCATCAGCGAGAAATATCTATACATGACGCGATTCTGTAATTCACGCTAAATATTTAGATTAATTTTAATTGAGTTGTTAATGTACATGGCGTGTGCCACAACTAGTGACTATGCACTTGTTCCGTAAAATCATCTCATTGCTGTACAATTTCTCGCGGACCCCTATAATCGTGCGCCAATTAACCTGACTGATCGCAGCCAATCAGCGCTGCGATAAAGGCTTTCTAACATGCTGTTTAGCGACGAAGTGTTCCAAAGTCGACAGTTTGCTGTGTACGCGTGTATAACCTGGTGAAAATAGACCGGCCTGACGATAATATTCGAGAAGAGGGTATTGTTACCTCGCTTAGATCGATAGGCAAATTCCTAACTCACTCGATAGCATACGCTCGTTTAAGTGTCCGGTTAATAATCTGGTAAGTCTAGACTCCCGCGTACGCGCCGTCAGTATAGGATAAAGCTTCCTGATTTTATTCGCACTCTGCAGTTTCCTCGCGCAGTATTTTACTGCAGCTTCGGTGCGGATGAACTACTAGCAGTCTACAGGCCTACAGGATGTATACAACAGCAACGCCAAGCACGCGGACGTCGCAAACACACCTTTCCGGTGTGAGGCCAGGCTAGGTGTACACTACATATACAGAGAGCCCGCGCGTGCGCTCTGTCACGGACAGTAGAGGGAATGCATCGATGATGCACAGAAAGGGTAGCAACAGCACGAGCATAAACTAGTCTCCTGTGTTGCGCTATCTTTCTCTATCTCTCTCTCTCTCTCTCTCTCTCTCTCTCTCTCTGTCTTTATCCGTCTCCAGCACCCTCTCGCTCTCTTCGATGCATTGTCCCTTCTTACCACTGATCGGGGTCATATCTCCTTCGGAGTTGCTGATCGTGTCGTACGGTCGTATACAATTATCGCAGCAATCTGCGTCCAACTTAACCTAAACGAAAACGGATAAACAAGCAGACGAACTAGCGCGTCGCGAGAGAGAGAAGGAGAGAGGCGACAGACCGACGTCGACAGGAGACACAGCGTAGCGACGGGAGCCGCACTCGACGTTGGCATGGATGACGTCACGACAAGCGATTCCTGGACGACGGGTTCGTTGTTCACTCTACTCGCGTTTTACAGTTTTACATCTCATTGTGTGTTTATAATTTGTTCATCCGTCCGTGCGTATATAATTCTTTCATTCGTTCATGAATATATAATTCGTTTATCTGTTCGTGAATATAGTTATATTTCATCCGTTCGTGAAAATATAATTTGCCAATAGGTTCGTGTATTTATACATTTTTAATTTTCTTTGTGAATATATACTTATTTTATGTATTAGTGCTTCCTATTTCGTACTCAATTTATCTCTTCGTGAGTTCAACGTCTCGTCTCTAATCTATATTTGGGAAAATCTGTAATAACTGTCATAGTTCACAGTGCCAGTATTGTAATAGGGTGTCGATTCACTTAACTAACGATAAAAATAATAAATATTATACGTATCTAGATAGGTTATCTAGTATATTATTTCTGCATACGTCTTGGACGTTTATTTTACCATCGATCTGATTGATAACCATTGATTAACCAACCACTGAGCAACCAACCATTGACTAACCAACTACTGAGCAACCAACCATTGACTAAGCAACTACTGAGCAACCAACCATTGACTAACCAACCGCTCCCAAACTAACCATTGATCAACCTATAATTTATTAAGAGAGCGCTCTAGCCTGTAGGGCGCAAAACTCCTACTTCATCCCCGCTCGTCCTTCCCCTTGCCTCTCGTGTCCCTCGCTCAGCCTCCTTCATCTTCTACCGCCCCTCAGATATCTTCCCTGCCGCCTTCCCCCAGTCTACCATCTCTCTTTCTCTCTCTCTCTCTCTCTCTCTCTCTCTCTCTCTCTCTCTCTCTCTCTGAGCAAGCTATATTGTGCAGTTTTTCAGTCCGTACTGCACGCCTAAAATGGTGCTCGCGCATGCGCAATATCTCCCGAGATGAAGAATATTTTATAAAAATATTTCATTTAAGATAAAGAGAGCTTATCCTAGCATAGATTTATATGATAACATTCCATCAGTAGACCTCACTTAAGAAATAGGAAGAAGACATCGCATGTAAGATCCCGCTGCATATGCCAGTCGGTACATAATCTGTCTACGTTAGTGTGTAATTAGCGCACGCGCAATATCTCACCAGAGGAGTTATATTTTGAAATGAATATGCATTTAAAATGATTAAGGGGTATCTCAGCATAGATTTATGTAATAAATTGTTATCAGTAGACCTGTGTTTATAATTAAGCAACCGTTGATTAACCAACCACTAATTAACCAACCATTGATATTACCGTTCCTTAGAAGTTGATACGACTGAGGGCGTGACTGGGTCAACAGGCAGGCCGCTAGCATTTCTACCCGCACACTACGCCCTGGTGACGGTAGCCTGCCTCTTACTGCTAGCTGCAGCAATAATCAGCTTGTACGCCATGTGTAGAAGGTGATGCAGTCGTAATTATTTATATTAGTTAGTTAGTGATGCATTTCTGTTGAATTTTAGAAAAATTTGGCGAGTGTATATACTGTTGTTTGAGTAATTTTTACATCTTGCTAGAGGTATAATAATCCACCTCCTCGTTGCCATTTTGGCCTGCCTTCCTGCTTGCTCGCCTGCTCTCTTTGTTTGCTTGTATTCCTGCGTGCCCGCGTGCGTCTCTTTCTGCCTACCTAACTGCCTGTCAGTTTGCCCATCTCATGTTAAAACCAAGCTAGCGGTTTCACGCCAAACACGAAACTAACGCATGTACGTCACATTCATCCCAACAGGCAGCACCAGCGGCTGATGGCAGTAGCCGAGGCAAAGGTCGTGCTCTCCCAGCTAAGTAACCAGTCCGGCTCCTACACTACTCCTCTTCCCGACACGCCACTGCAGCAGCAGAAGCATAGATCCTCCGTGGAAATCCTATACGATTACGAGCAAACCACGCCGACACCAGGTGGTGCCACGCGGCGGGAGACGGAGCCGTTGCGACCGGTAGGGGGCGCCTCGAGGTTTTCTTTTAACTTTGAGCGAGCTGGGTCGATCCTGCGTGCCGTGTTTAGCGTGGCGACGACGCGGGACGATGCGCGGGACAAGCGACAAGCCGACCAACGACCTGTCTCAATGCTCAGCGTCGACAGGATCATGGGCCGCGGCGACGAAACCGCATGTACGGGCAGCAACCCCGCAGTGACGACGGCTGCGCCCTCTAGTGGTACGTCTGACGTGAGACCCCTGCCGGCGGTGCGGAAAACCCCGGACGCGAGCGACGAGTTGCAGACGGGAGAAGGTAACCTGGCGCCCCCTGCCGCCTGTCAGCAGCCGCAGACGACAGAAAGTCGAGCGCGTGGTGGCGAGGACGATGACGTTGACGATGACGATGGGTTTCTTATTGGAGCGGTACACATTGAGGACGAGCAAATACGCGAAGCGTCACGAATGACGTCATTCGATTAATCGATTGCCAGCCACAGATATTCGAATGCCAAGTAAGGGATGCGACCCATCATATCAAGAGCGTATAAAGAAGGCCTTTTTTATACGCTCTTGATCATATCCTAGGTCTACAGAGAATATACGAGTAGCCAAGAAGTGGTATTACCAGGTGTAACACCAGGTACTATAAGCTGTCGTTGTAGCTACATAGCTCAACTAACTTTGTAATTTAATCAGATGATGTATGCTAGATTTTAGTCTATCAAGCTGCAACGCGCGTTGTATCGCTGGCCATGTGCAAGTTATTCAAGCATGTTATAACATCACATGTAAATGAACGGTTGAGCGAACAGTATGTCATGATATCACGAGATATTGTTATGGTTTGTCACATATCCAGATGTAATAGATCTGCTGGTGTTTAAATCGTTTGTAATTTGTATTGGCTCTTTACCCGGTCTTCATTCCTCTGTGACGTCATTATATGCGCCAGCGTCATGGAATAACGAGTCAAATACTCATCTATAAAACAACACACACACATAAATTATTTAAAAAAATGAAGAATAACATAACCGGTAGGTGTGTGATCTCAACGTTAAATATGTTATTTAAAAAAATCCATTTGATAAAGGTCTACCTCACAGCTTTTTAGATCATCTAAGACACATATCGCCACCTTCTGGCGTATTTGAATTAGTGATATGTCAGTCAGGGCTTCCTATGACTGATCAAGAGAGGCATCAAGGTTAATTTTTCATGCCAAGCTCTTTCAACTATTTACTATCCATTGTAAACATTCAATAATTCAAAAATCTTAATAAAATCACCGAAGGGTGTATGCTATCTAATTAAAAAAATAACGCAATAAAATTATATTTCATACATTTGATAAAGCATAGCTTTGTATCTGATCTAGGACACATCGACATCCACTTGCGGATTTAAATTAAATTGGTGAGATGTTAGCAAGCGCTCCTCAACTATTATTATCGAGGGGCATTAAAAAATCTCGCTTAATTTCGGTTATATTTGGCAACAGCGAAGACAGCTCTACCGCTATGCTACAGGGAAATTTGGTACAAGTAGGCACTTTATGATTAATATATCCAGTCAGTACACAATCTGGCTACGTTACTGTTTTAGCGCATGCGGAATATCTCACGAGAGGAGTTATATTTTGTGCTGAAAATGCATTTAATACGGTAAGGGGGTATCTCAGCATAGGTTTATGTAATAAATTCTCATCAGTAGACCAGTGTTTATAATTTGGAGAGCGCCCTAGCCAGTAGAGTGCAAAACAACTACTTCATCCCCGCCCGCCCTTTCCCTTGTCTCCCTTGTAGCACGTTCAGCCTCCTTCTTCTTTCACCGCCCCTTGGCTGTCTTCCCTGCCACCTTCCCTCAGTCTCTCACCCCTCTCTCTCCTGCAGCAAGCTATATTACGAACTTTTATTTAGGCCGTACTGCACGTCTGAAACAGTGCTCGCGCATGCGCAATATCTCCCAAAAAAAGAATATATTTGCCAAATTTATGAATTTAAAATGAAGAGAGTTTATTCCAGCATAGATTTCTATAATAATATTCCATCAGTAGACCTCACTTATGAAATAGGAAGCAGACCTTGTATGTAAGGTATCCGCTGCATAGACCAGTCAGTACACAATCTGGCTACGTTACTGTTTCAGCGCATGCGGAATATCTCACGAGAGGAATCATATTTTGTACTGAAAATTTATTTAATATGGTCAGGGGGTATCTCAGCATAGGTTTCTGTAATAAATTCTCATCAGTATAGAGATGTGTTTCTAATTAGGTGAGCGCCCCAGCCAGTAGTGTGCAAAAGTACTACTTCATCCCCGCCCGCCCTTTCCCTTGTCTCCCTTGTCGCACGCTCAGCCTCCTTCTTCTTCCACCGCCACTCGGCTGTCTTTCCCGCCTCCTTCCCTCAGTCTCTCACCCCTCTCTCTCCTGCAGCAAGCTATATTAAGAATTTTTATTTAGGCCGTACTGCACGTCTGAAACAGTGCTCGTGCATGCGCAATATCTCACAAAAAGAAGAATATTTTTGCCAAAATTATGAATTTAAAATGAAGAGAGCTTATCCCAGCATAGATTTCTGTAATAATATTCCATCAGTAGACCTCACTTTTGAAATAGGAAGCAGACCTTGCATGTAAAGTCTCCGCTGCATAAACCAGTCAGTACACAATCTGGCTACGTTACTGTTTTAGCGCATGCGGAATATCTCACGAGAGGAGTTATATTTTGTGCTGAAATTCCTCAAAAAAATTCTTAGTTGAGGAACATATGAACCCAGATTTGATACCCAAAAATGTCTTTCATAATTTGCAGATAAATGTGCATAAGCCTCCTGACTATATTAGTTTATACTTTAATAGAGCCACATGTTGCCACCAGTATACAGTTATTAATACGATATATAAGCCTCCTGACTATATTAGTTTATACTTTAATAGAGCCACATGTTGCCACCAGTATACAGTTATTAATACGATATATATGCCTATATATATTCTAACGATTCTATTTTTTATGTTCGCATTAGAATGTTAACGTAGTTGTTCCCGTATCCTTTTCCAATTGTTTACACAATTTTATACTGGCAAGTTTAACATACATTGACATAATGCTATTTACACGTTTCACCAATTATTTCCGTGAACACCTGCCTTCTTTGCCCACCTTAACTGACCCTTTTCTATACACAACACAGTGAAAAGGACCCATGACTGCTGATCATAACATTATATTACAGTTATGTTAAGGTTATTGTTACGGTCAAGGTTGTGAGGGTAACTGTCGTTTTTTACGGGAGGAGAGAGGGGTTAGTGGGGCAGTTACTGTTATGGTTAGACTTGGTGTTAAGGGTAGGGTTAGGGTTAGGGTTAGTGTTAGGGTTATATTGATTTGTGATATAGGGTTAGTTAGAGTTAGAGTTAAAGTTAGAGTTAGAGTTAGAGATAGAGTTAGAGTTGAAGCCTCCTTCTTCTTCCACCGCCCTCGGCTGTCTTTCCTGCCACCTTCCCTCAGTCTCTCACTCCTCTCTCTCCTGCAGCAAGCTATATTACGTACTTTTATTTAGGCCGCACTGCACGTCTGAAACGGTGCTCGCGCATGCGCAATATCTCACAAGAAGAAGAATATTTTTGCCAAAATTATGAATTTAAAATGAACAGAGCTTATCCCAACATAGATTTCTATAATAATATTCCACCAGTAGACCTCACTTTTGAAATAGGAAGCAGACCTTGCATGTAAGGTCTCCGCTGCATAAACCAGTCAGTACACAATCTGGCTACGTTACTATTTTAGCGCATGCGGAATATCTCGAGAGGAGATACATTTTGTGCTGAAAATGCATTTAATATGGTCAGGGGGTATCTCAGCATAGGTTTATGTAATAAATTCTTATCAGTAGACCTGTGTTTATAATTAGCAAAGCGCCCTAGTCAGTAGGGTGCAAAACTACTACTTCATCCCCGCCCGCCCTTCCCCTTGTCTTCCTTGTCGCACGCTCAGCCTCCTTCTTCTTCCACCGCCTCTCGGCTGTCTTCCCTGCCACCTTTCCTCAGTCTCTCACCGTTCTCTCTCGCAGCAAGCTATATTACGTACTTTTATTGAGGCCGTACTGTACGTCTGAAACGGTGCTCGCGCATGCGCAACATCTCCCACGAAGAAGAATATATTTGCCAAAATTATGAATTTAAAATGAAGAGAGCTTATCCCAGCATAGATTTCTATGATAATATTCTATCGGTAGACCTCACTTATGAAATAGGAAGCAGACCTTGTATGTAAGGTATCCGCTGCATAAACCAGTCAGTACACAATCTGGCTACGTTACTGTTTTAGCGCATGCGGAATATCTCACGAGAGGAGTTATATTTTGTGCTGAAATTATAGACCTTGTGCAGTGACGTCATATTATTTGATGTTCTATTGTTTCCCCGACATTTTGGTGATCACTTGACAGACCGTACGCCACACTGAGACAGGCAGCATTTCGTATTTCTTCAAATTCTTGGTAAAACTAGGCCCTACTGTCAGCTTTATGGCGTGTTGTGTGGCAGTTGGGTGCTCTAATAGGGCAAGTATGAAAGGTATAGCATTCTACCGGTTTCCAACGGATAGAGAACGTCGAAACAGCTGGATAACTGCTGTGCGTCGGGAGAATTGGTCACCAACCACGCATTCAAGGTTATGCTGTAAACACTTCATATCAGGTAGGTGATGAAATGTCAGTCAAGTGACACACATGTAGTGATGTACATACATTCCCATGACTGGCCTTGCTGATAGCATGTCCAATGGCATTTTGATAGCCTTGTTGATATTTTATATTTATACTATAGTCCAGATTCCAATATGGAATAATTACTAAACTCTAAATTAGGGGTGAGATGAGGATAGTATTGTTACGGCAATACTAGCCACAAGTTCCCATCTCGCTTAACACTACGTGGCGAGAGGCCCGTAACTAGTCCGCCGTGTAACTAGTCGGAGAGCCTGGTCGGTTTACGGCAATACGTGCAGGGAGTGCAGTTGCTTATAAAAGCCTAGAAAAAGCCATGCTGCCACCAATTTTAAGCTGTACTATCCCATTACTGAAATCCTTGATCTGTCCCCAAAATGCTAGTGGTAGTAACTTGACATTTAGGAATAATCAGGTAATACGTATAATGTATGTTTTTTTTTCACTCAGGTGTGAAGAGCAATAATTCCCTGTCACCAGATTATGTGCCATCTGTATTCGCACATACAAGATCTCCACAGAAAAGAGCTGGTTTACTGGCTGCAGAATCTCATGAGAGGAGAACCAGCATGAAAAGGAGAAAAATTGAGCAAGTATGTAGGTGTACATATGTATAGTGTGTTGGATAATTAAACTTGACAGAATTTCTGTGATAAAAAGTAAAAACCAACTTAAACATGCAAGGGGGTTAGGCTATATTTTTAGATATATTTTGGTTTATTCACTCATGAAGAAACTTGACCGGCACCCATCCGGATATGGGATTTGGCCGGATATGAGAGTTATGCTCAAATACAGCATTTCTATGCAGTTCAGTAGGGGTTATGCATGTGATAATGTATTTACTCGTTGCTACGATTGATTATTTGTAACAAACTGTCGTGTTTTATGGTTTATATGAAATGGAAATAAAATAAAATGAATTTTACCACTTCGGTTTATGTTTATTTCTTTTGTACTGAGATCTAGGGCTGTAACGATCGATACACTTGCGGCGTTGTATGCCTAGGGCTGTTACATGTGCGCGGCAGCGGCGACTTTGATTGAAGTACGGGGCTCGATCGATTGCGAGTGCGTAGCGAGGTAGCGCGTTTCACTAACGTCCGCTAGTAAAAGTTGTTCGTTAACGGACGAGAGTTGTCCGGAGGCTTAGCGGACAACACACACACGCACGCACGCACGCACGCACGCACGCACACATTTTTGTTCATTCATATAGTATACAATGTATATATCTTTTATTCCTTGATAGTTTTTACAGCATCAACAAGTGAGTATGTATTCGTGAAATATTCGTATTAATATGGCCGTATATTTATACAATCATGTACATGTACATGGGCGTTTGCTATTACGGTAAGTGTGTTTGTTTTGTGCATGTGATAGCTGTGCGCTCTTACGATAATCAATGTGTACATCGCGCGAGAATTGTTTGTACATGGCGCGAGTTTTGAGCGAGCTTTGAGCGAGATTTTTAGGTGGAAATGAATGAAAAAACAAAGAACATACACTGCGAGATCGCGGCCGGATAACGGATGGCCGGATAAAGGAGGGCAGATTGTATATATATATATATATATATATATATATATATATATATATATATATATATACATATATATACCAGCAATCTTTGCTCTCAATATACTCTCAATTCGATTAGCTGTCGAGAGGCGACCTGTGATCCCAAGTCAGTTAGCAAGACACTTGGTACATTATAAACCAAATCTTAAGGTAATCTCATTAATAAAGCCAGCATGACCGCCGCCTTCACTGCCACCGTCGCAGCGACATTGCTTATCGTTGTTACTCTTACTGAGCTCGTCTCTGCCAAGACACCACAGATGTGGATAGGTATGACACACCTTCACCAATGTGGATCTCCACAAACTTTGTTGCATAGCGAAGGGCTATACTGGGTGGAGTTAGTTATGAATTAACGTGTCTGTCTTCATTGAAGCCAGGTACGAATAATTATGTAGATCTAGTAGACCTGGAATAAAAGCATGTCACGTAGACATCAAAACCGCGACTATATCGCGCATAGCAAACTATCTAACTTGTGTTCAATTTAAAAGATAACTCCTAGCCCACTGGAATAGATTATTCGGGTAATATAAGAGTACGTTAAATGTTTGAAAAAACCATAAAATTAACCTGCACCAAACAGATTCGAAAACTAACCTAGTTGCTTCTCTCGAGCCGAATGAAAGTGATTGAACTTCTCATATAACGTCGTTTAGTCTGTACTAATTATAGGCACGTGATCGTACACGTTCGAATTATGGTTACGTACTTAAGCACTTCAGGCAATGTGTAGTTAACTATTAAATGTGAACGTTACAAACATGGATTTATAAAAAACATAAATGACGTTTGATATCATTATCCACACACAAGGATTGATACAAGTATCACTAAGCTGAACGCTGAGCAGTGAACACAGTGCATACCGCGACCGAATACAAATGTGACAACCGTGACAATTTGAACATAGTTACAAGCAATTCATTCCGTACGGCTGACTAAGGACTTGCTGGCGGTGGCTTGGTTCTCTGGCCGTGCGACGTAAGTCGTGTCCCATTGGTTGTGTGACAGAAACGTGACGCTGAACGAACGACGGACCTTTGACTGCGCAAATGATCGAATGCTCGAACTATCTCTCGTGTCCAAAGTCCGAGTGCCTATATGCGAGAAAGGGGCACGTCGTGACCGTTTGCAAGGCCGGCCGGTGAAGGCATTTCTCGTGTCATTTGTCACATTTGTCCTAATTGTCTGTCCTTGAGTGACAAGGGCGGAGTCTCTTGCATGCGTTGTCTGTCCACTATCTGTCATTGAGCAGTTGATGACCTCTGTGAGGTGAAGTGTTATTGTTCAATGCTCATTAGCGCCCTTCGCCCTTTTTATCGCCCTTCTCAATTGACGAGTTGAATTTCTTTCCTCCATTGATGATTAGAACTTCATTCCTTGGTTGATGTTTAGAACTTTATTTCTTGGTTGATGATTAGAACTTAATTCTTCAGTTGATGATTAGGACTTTATTTCTTGGTTGATGATTAGAATTTTATTCACTAGTTGATGATTTGATTGCTTAGTTGATTAATAGAACTTCATTCCTTAGTTGATGATTAGAAATTCATTCCTCAGTTGATTATTAGGACTTCATTCCTTATTTGATGATTAGGACTTCATTTCTCTGCTGATGATCAGAACTTCGTTTATGCAATGGTCGTTATCTTGTTCTTATATGTCCTCGGGGGAGGGGGGGTTGAGTGAGTCGCTAAACGAGTTGCTTTCACTTGTCCTTGTCCAATTAGACGTTGGAATTTTATTGTGTTAGCTGCGTGAGCTAGTTCCCTACCTAGTTAATCTAGTTAATTACCCCGGCTACCAATGTCTGCGTATTATAGAGATACTGCTCTACTGGTTGGTTAAGAAATAGTTGCATTTGATAGTGTATAACTAGAATACTACACTACCATCCTGGCCGATAAAAGTGAACACAATGCATACCGCAATCGAATATATAGTGACAATTTGAACATATATGTACGGTACAAGCAATGCATTTTTAAGTAATGAATTACGTACGTATGCACGTGAATGCGCATGTACGTGAATCGTTGAATGCACGTGTGGGTAGCAGTTCAGGCAACCGCCCTGCTTAGCAGAAAGCTTAAGCATGCGCCTGCGTCACTCTCTAGTATAAGTATTTGTATTGTACTATCTAACACCTATCGTCACACATGATACAGGCACCGCTCTGCGTGGCAGAGAGCTAACGCACGCGCCTCTTGCCATCTCTACTATAGCTATTTGTATTACTATCATCTAACTATAATTGACTCTCCTCTCTAACACATGCAGGCACCGCTCGGACTGCGACGTCCAGCCAGCCGACTGCGAGTTGTTCGGCTTTAACTACGTGCGCTCGGAGACACGGGACTGCGTCAGCGGACCGACGTGCTGTGCGCGGCGCCGCTGCAGTGCGCGCCACACGTACCGTCCCCGTCAACGAGCTACACGTGATGACGTACACATATTCGACCTCGGATACCGCTTCTCGCACACGGGACAGATCCAGCGCACGTGCCGCATTCCGGCGGCCATCGCGCCGCGACCACGCCCACGTCGACGTCATCGTCTTCGAAAGGTGTTCGTGTTCGGCTGCTGGCCGGAGAGAAGCGTTTCCCTGCGCGACCTCCTCCTCTTCTACGGCTTCCCGTATTTCACGCGCAGCACGTCGGCGACGACGCGGCGGCGGCCGGGCGAGCCGAACATCAAGGTGATGAATGGCGGAGTGATGATAGCGTCCGTCACCCGATCGTCGCCGAGGCGGAGTACGAATACGTCGCCTTAGAGAACGACGCCTACCAGCGCAAGGGCGTCATGTACGCGCGCGTGCGCAAGTCGTCGCGCTCCGAGGCGAAGACGTACCACGTGTTCGGTCGCCATGCGCAGCACAACAACAGCTCGAGACAGATCGAAATTCGTAAGGATCAGGCGTTCGAGTTTCGCGCTTCATCGCGACAGCAGGAAGATTCTGCCGACGAGCCGACGATCCTGGCGGAGACTTCAACATGGACTTCCTTCATGCACCCCCGGAAGTAATGCAACTACTAGAGGTACTCGACGCCGCAGCGCCACCTGTCGTCGGCGAGCGTCGCCGAGTTGGGGTCCGACAACGTGCTCGTGTCGGACGATGAACTGCGGCAGTTCCTTGATTACGTTCTGTACGACGTACGGGGCTTGCTGGCACGTACGCCGCGATGCACCTGGTGAAGCCGCGTTCTCAGCTCCCTTCAGAGTGTGCGTGCGCAGCCTGCGTTGCAGTACGTGTGGCCGGACGCGGTGAACTGCCTTGAGACGATCGCTATCAATGACTTTGAGTGATCATTACGCGGTCATCGGCAAGCTCGTATATTGATTCACGTTTAATTCATAATAATTATTAACCACCTATTAGTCAATAATAGGCATCTCAATGAATAGTATAATTTTATATTCATTTTTGCGCCCAGCCTAATTACTAGGCAATCAAGAGTATATAAACGTTGGAGGTTTGTTGGAATATATTATGTGTTGTGTGTGTGTGTGTGTGTGTGTGTGTGTGTGGTGTGTGGGGTGGTGTGTGTGTGTGTGTGTGTGTGTGTGTGGTGTGTGTTGTGTGTGTTGTGTGTTGGTGTGGTGTGCGCGTGCGTGCATGCGTGCGTGTGTGTAGGGGTAGATTTTGTGTATACCAGTGTTCTGTTCATCCTCAAGTTTCAGTCTACTTATGCGCGTGATTTTTGTGAGATGCAGCGATGACGTCATGTGAAGAAGCAGCGCAGCTGTAATAAACGCTTCTATAACCCGTGGATTTTGGATTTTTTACAAGCTCAAGACGCATCGCAATGCTCGCATTCTGGTAGCTTACAGTCTGAGTGTTTACCATCGAAACGCAAACATCGGAGTGAAAGACAAAAGGCTTTTAAGCGATATGCAGTAATATAATTTAACACAAGCAGCGCTTCTCATTCGGAAAAAAACGTCGCATATAGACCTTGTGCAGTGACGTCATATTATTTGATGTTCTATTGTTTCCCCGACATTTTGGTGATCACTTGACAGACCGTACGCACACTGAGACAGGAGCAGATTTCGTATTCTTCAAATTCTTGGTAAAACTAGGCCCTACTGTCAGCTTTATGGCGTGTTTGTGGCAGTTGGGTGCTCTAATAGGGCAAGTATGAAAGGTATAGCATTCTACGGTTTCCAACGGATAGGAACGTCGAAACAGCTGGATAACTGCTGTGCGTCGGGAGAATTGGTCACCAACCACGCATTCAAGGTTATGCTGTAAACACTTCATATCAGGTAGGTGATGAAATGTCAGTCAAGTGAACACATGTAGTGATGTACATACATTCCATGACTGGCCTTGCTGATAGCATGTCCAATGGCATTTTGATAGCCTTGTTGATATTTTATATTTATACTATAGTCCAGATTCCAATATGGAATAATTACTAAACTCTAAATTAGGGTGAGATGAGGATAGTATTGTTACGGCAATACTAGCACAAGTTCATCTGCTAACACTACGTGGCGAGAGGCCGTAACTAGTCCGCCGTGTAACTAGTCGGAGAGCCTGGTCTTACGCAATACGTGCAGGGAGTGCAGTTGCTATTTAAAAGCCTAGAAAAATCCATGCTGCCACCAATTTTAAGCTGTACTATCCCATTACTGAAATCCTTGATCTGTCCCTAAAATGCTAGTAGTAGTAACTTGACATTTAGGAATAATCAGGTAATACGTATAATGTATGTTTTTTTTTCACTCAGGTGTGAAGAGCAATAATTCCCTGTCACCAGATTATGTGCCATCTGTATTCGCACATACAAGATCTCCACAGAAAAGAGCTGGTTTACTGGCTGCAGAATCTCATGAGAGGAGAACCAGCATGAAAAGGAGAAAACATGAGAAAGTATGTAGGTGTACATATATATAGTGTGTTGGATAATTAAACTTGACAGAATTTCTGTGATAGAAAGTAAAAACAAACTTAAACATGCAAGGGGGTTGGCTATATTTTTTGATATATTTTGGTTTATTCACTCATGAAGAAACTGATCACTCATGTGACAGGCCATGGCCTATTCATTATATATATATAATATAATATATTTAATATATAATATAATATAATATATATTATTAAATATATATTATAAATACCATTTTAATATATGACAATCTTACCCTGACTAAAAATATTAATGATTGGAACTAAAATTTCAGACTAAGAGATCAACAGCAGCAGCAGCCCTATTAAACCTGGCTGGAACACCACGGGAGCCATCAGATGCAACTTCCGAGCCCGGCACATCAGATACACCACAAGCGACCAGCTCCACCGACAGCACATTCGACAACGACCCAAACAAGGCATGTGAAACATTACTCACAATGAAAGACATAGAAGGCATGGAGTCAACAACCAGACAGTTACTTGTTGAAAAACATGACCTACAAGGAAAGGTGGATGATTTAAAATTAAGTGAAGAATCCTTCAGGGTAAATAATGAGAAAGTTAAGGTGTTCACTGGACTCGCAAATTTCAATTTGTTGATGACTGTATTTAATTTGATTCGACCAAACCTTAAGGATAAATCCTCATTGTCACCATTTGACCAACTGTTGCTCACGCTGATGCGGCTCAGGCTTAATGTAACTGTGCAATATTTGTCGTTTGTATTCAGTGTGCACCACAGTACTATAGTGAGAGCATTTTCTGATGTCATTCATGTTTTAAATGAGAAATTTGTCCCCTTGACAGTTGTTTGGGCAGATAGAGCTGAAGTACGAAGTACTCTTCCCTACGTTTTCAAGAAAACTTTTTCCAAGTGTGTTTCAATAATAGACTGTTTTGAGATTTTTCTTGAAAGACCATCCAATCTGGATTCAAAGGCTAAAACATATTCTAATTATAAGTCTCACGATACAATCAAATATCTCATTTCCATGGCTCCTCAAGGGTATGTTAACTTTATATCTAAAGGCTGGGGTGGTCGTACGAGTGACAGGCAGCTAACGGAACGCTGTGGTTACTTGCCAAATCTTGTGCCTGGGGATACTGTTTTGGCTGATAGAGGTTTTACCATTCAAGATTTAGTTGCTAGTTATGGTGCTTCATTAGAAATCCCAGCCTTTACAAGAGGGAAAGCTCAGCTCGACAAGAAAGAAGTCAATGAAACCAGACATTTAGCTTCTGTCAGAATACACATTGAGCGAGTGATAGGAAACATTAGGAAGAAATATCCAATACTTGGCAGCACTATCCCTATCACCCTTCTTCAGACAGACGAAATTTCAGGTTTCACTACTTTAGATAAGGTTGTCAGAGTAGCATGTGGTTTGTCAGATATATGTGAGTCAATAGTTCCATTTCACTAGCCCCCGTCAATATTTTGTCACAGCGAGTAAAGACATTGAACGATGATTTGAAATTAGATGAAAAATCACATAAAACATTTTTATTACATTGAACAGTCTTGTATAAATCAATGCATATGAATTGAACGCCTCATTTTAGTTTTTAAATAATGAATGTAAAATAAACGGGGTTCAAGAGATATATAATTGCACGAACATTGTTATAGTTAGCACCAATATTTGCATTGCAGATTAACCTGTACTGCACTGTACTGCTGAAACTTTGATTACCAAGTGAATAAAATACGAATACAAAAGGCATGAAGAGTTGTTGTTTCATCTAACCACAGGGTGACCACTGCTATACTAACATTTGTGTGTTTTTCAAACAAACTAGATTCTGTGGCTAAACAGCGGTCTATAGAGATAATTGATTGTGTGGGTGCTGATTCTTATGCTCTGTGTAGGTCAGAGATTACATCTGTCCTGGATTGTGGGAGTAAAGATCTTCTACCCAGACATTTATCACAACCTCATAAACATATGCGGTAAATTTTTGGGCCAGTGCATGAAGGCATACAAGATGCTAATACATATATTTCATCTCCGGTTGGCTACTCTGCAGTCTGGACACTCCCACTTTCTCTTAGGTACATTTTTGAGTCGCAAACACGTCAAATGGAATTTTTTGATCTTACAAAAGCCTGACTTACACTCTATCATTATACCCTCCTCATCCCGTCGGCAGTAGCATGCCGTGTGACACAGGTCAATAGATGTCTCTTGATGTGCCAAAGCCTGTGGTTGACATGTGTACCACTTTGCTATAAGCTCAGGCAAAATACCCTGTACATAAAATTCAGATGCTTTTGCTACACAATCCATCCAGAAAGTAGGGTCTGGTGAGATACGCTCAATATGAATGCCTTCTGAGCCCCACACAACAAAATCACAATATCCTTTATCAGCAATTTGTATTTGGGATTGGATCTCAAAATACTATTGATGATCTTTCTTAAGGTGTAACATGCCACTTTGGTATTTTTCTAAACAGAAACTTTTTTTCCCACGAGGGACCCAATCTCTTTTTCAGCTAGACAATGGGGACATTTTATTTCCACCAAGCCCTCTACAGCAACTGCAAGTCACCAACCCATCCGGGGATGCACTCATGTGTGGATACAGGGGGTTGATAAAAAAAAACCTGCATCCGAGACTACAAATTCACTGTGTAGCTGCTTCATGTGTCTCTCATAAGCATTACGGGCGCCTTTCTCGTGGTCACATCCCCATCTGAAACAATGTGAGACATATAGTTATTAGCGATTATGCTAGAGTGCATTCCCTGACAGTTTTGTAGTATGCCGGTAGTACTAGTAGCTAAGTAAGCTGTAGATTGCGTCGCCTAGAATAACCAGATTTTGTGACTCATGGGTTTAGTCTCAGTATTTCTGGCAGGCTCCACATATTGTTTGCCCAACTTCCATATATATCCATCCTCATTTAGTTGCACTATGGTCATATTTACTTGGTGGCCTTAGTGGAGAATTTGTAATTTTCCGGGTAGCATTATGATTTAATCAAGGACTGTGATTGGTTGGCAGGGTCGGTTCTAGTAGCAGCCTTCAGCTTTGAGGCAGTGATCCTGCCTGCCCTCTGACGAAACCAATGTCGATTAGCAGCTTGTGATTTGGTTTCTTTTTCAATCGCAGTGGCCTGAATAAAAATGAAGTCCCATATATAGTCAAACATGCAGATTTGGCACATGTTAGGTTGAGCAGTGTCTCAGATGATTGAGGGGGTCAATGGCCTTTCGGTACGCCGGATGTCCGGCCTATTAGAGAGTATTCCGTACGCCGAGGTGGGCGGTACGGCGTACGCCCCGGCGATGACAGTAATCAACCGTATTCCGTACGAAAGTAATTGATATATAGATTCGGGATTGGTGTTTTTGGTCTGAACTTTCCTGGCCCATTTTTAATAAATGTGATTCTATTTACCCTGGCTAACTGGAAACCGAATACTGTCCCCGCACGAAGGATTCGCGAAAAGGACGGGAAATCAAAGTCGAGAGTCAAGTCGGTGTAAGCCAGTCTAATGTTAATGAAATATACAACGAACTTGAGGTCCCCTTTGTCCCGGGTGGTTGTTGGGGGCATCGTGACGTGGATTAGCCATTTACCCAAGTTTTTTTTTATTGGTGGCAGTGCTCTATAATATATGATCTCTATATTAACTGATCTAATATAATAATCTGATGTCTATAATAATAGAGAATAATGATGGAAGATATTATTAGAGAGGATCAGTGCGCAGTGTTACTGTTGTTTGCTGTGAGTGGGGAAGTGTTAATGAGGGCCGCAAATATAGTGATACTGGACCGCAAGGGCGGCAGAGTTGGTAGGATGGGCACGGATCCGCCCGTGGCCCTTTGAAAAGCCAAGAAAGGTAAAATAAAAGAAAAATTACACTTATTAAAAAAATTACAAATTACAAAATTACAAAAAATTAAATTTTTCTCGAATTCAATGTTGTAAATAAGGTTACAAGATGAGGTTCCAAGTTCAGAAATGTGACATTCAATGACTATTTCGTCATGTTTACCATAGAGCGTATTCAAATTTGTCGTCATTCTTCTGAGATTCCTGCCAAGAAAAACATCTCAGAGTCATTACAGAATTGAGTGGTGACAGGTGTGAGAGAGATAGTTGTGCGGCCGCCATCTGTTATAATGTCATATCATGTGATGTACCGGATGTTTCAAGAGAGGAAGAGTGACTAGTGTAGTGGCTCCTGTAAACGAGCATACAGCCACATACTCATCTAATACAAAACCATTCTTTCAAGTTTGCAAATATAGTGCGAGTTAGTCGACCAAGAATATTTTTTTTTAATGGCCCGATATTTTCTCTAGCCGCAATAGTTAATGGTGATATGTGAATGTGCTTTCTGTAATAACACATGGGATCATTTCAGAAAATATATAAAGTTTAAAACATTTTACAGTGTAAGATGTAGGGATTCTTCGCTACATTTGACCGTGCCTTGCCTCGCCCCGTGGGAGGTGAGCCGCCCCCGCCCTCATATCCGAAAGGCTGTCAACGCCGACTGATCGAGATTAAGCGCATAAGTAGAGTTGCTGCAATAGTTACGTTTAAAATACGCTGCTACAGTATGCACCAGATTGGCACCCAAGTGTGTGAGCGTAGAGAGAGCGAAGAGAGCGCCCCAGGGCGTGTACAGGGGGTCCAGGGGTCGCGAGCCCCCTGGCGTGCGCGCGAGAGAGACGCGATGCGTGAGGGGCTAATGTGTCAAAAATTATATGGGGGAGGGCCCCGCCAGACCCCCGCTCGCGTCTCGGTAAGTATGGTTCGTTTAGATCCGCCCTCTTGTCCCAAATCCTGTACGCCGCCTGTCGCGCCCCTCACCGCGTTCGGCTCCGCTCGGCTTGGTCGCTCCGCTCTCCGCCGTATCATCCCACTTTCACTACATATGTCGCATGGTGTGGGCCCCCTCTTTTTGAAAGCTTGGGAGTGCCGCGCCCGTGGTGAGCGTACGCAGTAGTGGGTGAAAGGGTGGGGGTGGGGGTAGAGGGGAGAGAGGGGAGAAGTGGGGGTGAGGGGGGGGGTGTGGTGGTAAAATGATGGAAAATATTTATAAAATATCGTGTGGGGTGTAGAAGTTGGAGGTGGGTTGGTAGAAGAAGTGAGGAGGGTAGTAAGTGGTAAGCATCCCACAACCGCACAAGCAGGAACAGGAGAGGCCAAATCAAATCACATCAGATGTTGCTCGAGGCTTCCTGGCAGAAAGTCTGTACCTTTTCTTCAATTATTTGCCTCTAACAAGCATGACATTAAGGTGTATTTATTGCTTACCTAATAAATAGTGTGCATGAATAAAGGTTAATAAATGTTGTGTATTGGACTATTGGTTACTGTTTGCTTATGTATTATTCGGGTGCTGGCTGCAGGTTAAATAGTATTCCAGATGCCAGCCCAAAATTATGGAGTATTCCAGATGCCACTGAAAATTAGAGAGTATTCCGGATGCCAAAGGGGGGGGGGGGGCATGGACCCCCTCATGATTGCCTCAAAACATCACAATGTAACAGTAAGTAATAGTCATATGCATCCAAATTGCTCTGCAGCCAAGAACGTACTAGGTATATAACCACCAATAAATATAAGGATATATATGCCAATGGTGTAGAGTGGCTACGTACCTCATCAGGTGTTACTGACAGCCGGACAAATGTCTCCCTTGATTTGTCGATTAGCGCAGCGAAGCTCAAATTGGCATGCTCTGAACTGTACAGTTCTGTTAGAGGAGCTGGCAAGGTTGCGTTGGCTGACTTCTCAAAGTGTTCTGTGTATCCAGGTATGGCCGACAGTATGACACTGTTAACACCTGTCATGGAATATAAATTGTGACAGTTTATTATCATTATTATATGTAGCATGTTTCATAATACCAGGAGTAGATAATAGAGAATATCTTATCACGGAGTATGCAGAGGATATGCGGATATATAATTATATATATGCGGATATAGGGTATAGCTTATCACGGAGTATGCAGAGCAAACAATAAAATGCACTGGTAAGCGAAATGTCTGTAATGAGTACTTGTAGATTTATTATATTTATCACCTGATGCATGCAATCCTTTGTAAAATGACTCCTTCTCTCCTTCTGTTGCACTTGCCACCTCTGGACATCTTTTTACAGCTCGTGTTTCACTCCCAACCACCTGAAAACATATTAGCACAATGTCACCAATAGCCCTTTGATGGCATTTTCTCATTACCTTCTTAAAATTTTGTTTGATAATTATGGGTGTGGTTTTGATACTCCTACTTATAATTTGTACATAAGACACACCTGGCATCTTTTCCTTGCATTGGAGAAATCCATTTCTGAGGCTGGTGATGGTACTACATTGGCAGCTCGAGAATTTGACGGTGCCAACCATGTATTGGGTAGGGAGGTGCAGGAAGTGTCCTTCTTCATCTTAACAACTGGGGAAGATAGAGAAAATATTGCTGCTACATTAATATACCAGTACAAACAATGAATGGTAACTTGATTTAAGTTAAAAAAGATAGATTAAATTTGTTGACGTTATAATTGCCCATAATAACGTTAAATTTGTTGACGTGATTCTGCCCTGCTTAGCAGAAAGCTTAAGCATGCGCCTGCGTCACTCTCTAGTATAAGTATTTGTATTGTACTATCTAACACCTGTATTGTCACACATTCAGGCACTGCCCTGCTTAGGAGAAAGCTTAAGCATGCGCCTGTGTCACCCTCTAGTATAGGTATTTGTATTACTATCTAACACCTATCGTCACACATGATACATGCACCGCTCTGCGTGGCAGAGAGCTAACGCACGCGCCTCTTGCCATCTCTACTATAGCTATTTGTATTACTATCATCTAACTATAATTGACTCTCCTCTCCAACGCATGCAGGCACCGCTCCGGACTGCGACGTCCAGCCAGCCGACTGCGAGTTGTTCGGCTTTGACTACGTGCGCTCGGAGACACGGGACTGCGTCAGCGGACAGGACGTGCTGTGCGCGGCGCCGCTGCAGTGCGCGCCACACGTACCGTCCCCCGTCAACGAGCTACACGTGATGACGTACAACATATTCGACCTCGGATACCGCTTCTCGCACACGGGACAGATCCAGCGCACGTGCCGCATTCCGGCGGCCATCGCGCGCGACCACGCCCACGTCGACGTCATCGTCTTCGAAGAGGTGTTCGTGTTCGGCTGCTGGCCGGAGAGAGGCGTTTCCCTGCGCGACCTCCTCCTCTTCTACGGCTTCCCGTATTTCACGCGCAACGTCGGCGACCGACGGCGGCGGCCGGGCGAGCCGAACATCAAGGTGATGAATGGCGGAGTGATGATAGCGTCCCGTCACCCGATCGTCGCCGAGGCGGAGTACGAATACGTCGCCTTAGAGACGACGGCCTACCAGCGCAAGGGCGTCATGTACGCGCGCGTGCGCAAGTCGCTCGGCTCCGAGGCGAAGACGTACCACGTGTTCGGTACGCATGCGCAGCACAACAACAGCTCGAGACAGATCGAAATTCGTAAGGATCAGGCGTTCGAGTTTCGCGCCTTCATCGACAGCAGGAGGATTCCTGCCGACGAGCCGACGATCCTGGCGGGAGACTTCAACATGGACTTCCTTCATGCACCCCCGGAAGTAATGCAACTACTAGAGGTACTCGACGCCGCAGCGCCACCTGTCGTCGGCGAGCGATCGCCGAGTTGGGGTCCCGACAACGAGCTCGTGTCGGACGATGAACTGCGGCAGTTCATTGATTACGTTCTGTACGACGTACGGGGCTTGCTGCCACGCTACGCCGCGATGCACCTGGTGAAGCCGCGTTCTCAGCTTCCCTTCAGAGTGTGCGTGCGCAGCCTGGCGTTGCAGTACGTGTGGCCGGACGCGGTGAACTGCCTTGAGACGATCGCTATCAGTGACTTGAGTGATCATTACGCGGTCATCGGCAAGCTCGTATATTGATTCACGTTTAATTCATAATAATTATTAACCACCTATTAGTCAATACTTGGGAGATAGAGAAAATATTGCTGCTACATTAATATACCAGTACAAACAATGAATGGTAACTTGATTTAAGTTAAAAAGATTAGATTAAATTTGTTGACGTTATAATTGCCCATAATACGTTAAATTTGTTGACGTGATC